GCAGAGTTCAACAATCGAGACTCCCCGGCCTGGTCTAGCTCGATGCATCCCGACGCCACGGCTCGCTAATACATTATGGGTGGGTATCCCATTACGATTCAAGAGGTGTTGAGAAGCAACTTGCGAGTCACGGCTCGAGCAATCAATCAAGGAAACCATTCCTGGGTTCGAGCAGTCTTCATGCCTTGGAGAGGCGGGAGTTGGCGCTTTTCTCGAATGGCCTAGACGCCTGACAGCGGCACCCCTGGGCAGTCCCCGCCTGCAACCACAGTTCATCAGCGGAACACCAACCACGGTCGGCATCACGTCAACCACTTTTCAGCACCTCGGTCGCGTGGCTTCTTGGTGACGTCGTCCCAAGAACCCTCCTACAACTTCAAGTCATTCCTAGATCTCATTTGTCTCGCGAATCTTAAAATTTTGATAACCACGCGGCCTGGTGATAAGAAGAGATAGGAAGAGGGGTGTCGGACTAAAAGAGGGGTTCCGCTTGGCTTGCACGCACTTTATTCTCGATGCGCAGATCGTGCATGCCGTGGAGGTTTGGCGAGAATGGGGCGGTACCTGACTGAGAACTGACGGTGCGCCTCCTTTTCGCGTAAGACTCGGAGAGCGTGCGCTGCTTCGCCATGCTGAGTGAGACATGCTTTCTGGTGACCGGGCTCAGGGGCAATAACTTCCAAAATTGAATTTCACCAGATCGAGTATTATAGAAGTCCGGGGGAGATGGTGAGAAGTTGCGCCTTTCACCCCTCTTGGCCTGTGCACTCGAGTTCGTGACGTGCAACACGACCCTCTTTGTCCAAAGAGACTTCACGTCTCACGCCAGCAGCCCAATCATCCATCATAGCATGCACAAAGCGCAAGGCTATGTCGGTAAATCCAACAAGCCGTCCTGGAACCAGCTCCATCCGTTGCGACGCCTGGCCGTTCAGGTCCCCCTTGGCGGGGCTTTATTGGATTCGGCTTAAAATATAGCTGCGGCTGAGTCGCGCTGCCTGAGGTGTGCTTTTTCCAGTCTGGGGCGCACATGGTAGCTGGGGTAGATAAGTCAACCGCCGCTGCGCTCTTTTAGTAAGATTTCGCATTCTGCACATTTTCACCAAGCGCTGGGAAGGAATTTGTCTTTGAATAACCAAAATGTTTACTACGGAACAACCACACTCGCCATCACACTCGCTCTTCCGAAGACCGTCACTGCTATGGCGCCGGTTCTCAAAACGCGAGAGGCCGGGACAGAACAGGAGGGAGGCTCAGCAATCAGGTCCAAATCAGCAACACCAATCGAAACTCCTCCCACAAGATCTGCCACGAAGACGACTCACGAAACGAGCAACTGAACCTCCACCAATGCCTCCCAACAAACTCATCATCACCCACATACACATGCAAGCCTTCGAAACCGCCTCCAAGCGCAGTGAACCCGAAATCCTCTCCCCCACACGAGTCACAGCGTCCGACATGCGTACAACGCCTTTTCCACACTCGCCACGGGTGTATACTGTCGGGTGGAACGTTTTCCTAAGCCCCGAACAAGTCTTCAGCCTTGTCATGGGTTTCGCCCCACGACAAATGGAAGATAAATGGTTCATCTACTCAGAAGGACCGGATACATCGGGCAAGTTGAAGGTGCACTTCCATCGAAGCTGGACAGGGCTCAAGATTGCAGAGTTGTTCGTCCTTATTGATTTGAAAGGCGAAGGGGCCGGCAAGATTGTTGGGGTAAAGTGGAATGGGACAGAGCAGACCAATGGTATGGATGAAGAAGAGGCGAAGTACATGATAAGTACGACTTGCGCTTGGGTTCTGGGAGCGGAGATTGAGACTGGGATGATATGAATATGACATTGAGACTTGCAACGATTTTGCTTCTTTCTACGAGCGACTTTTTTTTTGGGACGATATACGGCCTTCACATTGCTTTCGGATTTCATTCTTAATAACGAGATACCCACGTTATGGGTACTTCAGCTATGAGTACATATGAGCATTTGCAGACTTATATAATGAGCGACTTAGCGATAATTCAAAGAGAATTTCTTGTCTGAGTCTTCTTTGTTTCTCTACCTTTTTTTAATCTGGGTAATTGTGCAAAGAAATTTAAGGATTGCGATGGCTTGCCGCTGTGACTACCCCTTTTAGTGCCCACTCAAATCTCGTGGCATTGGTCATAGAATGGGACAGACATGTGCGACCACGGTTTGTGAATTTGGCCCACAATTTATATTCAATGACTGAGTTTTGTGTCATGACCAGGTTTATGGATATTCGCTAACGTACTTTACAAGCGAGTCGGGAATATAAGCGAGTCGGGAACTTCTCAACTTTTCGCGACGCGTTAACTATCAACTACAATGCCTCCACCAACACCTATTCAACTGCCCTGCGATGAAGCAGATATCCTTCTAGCTATCTCAGCTATTAATTAGCAGTAAGTAAAGAACACGCATTAAGCTGCAATCTCATTTAGTGTTCTAGATAGCACGCTGCGCGACCGACGCGCTGGAAAGCCTTCACGATGCAACTGCAGGCCTAATTCAAAAAAGCTCTCAGAGCTAGAGGAGGAGGTTATTGTTGGATATATACTTGACCTGGATTCGCGAGGATTTCTGCCTACTCTAGATGCTGTACGCGATATAGCAGATAAGCTACTTGCTGAGCACGGCGCTGGCAAGGTTAGCAAGCAGTAGCCTAGGAACTTTGTTAACTGAACAGAAAAGCTCACAACGTGATTTAACCGACTATATGATTACCAGCAAGCTCTCTACAAGGATCCTGAGACTATAAAGGCCTAGTTTAAGCTTGTACAACGTACTAAGGCGGAGTATAGTATCTATGATAAGGATACCTACAATTTTAATGAGGCTGGCTTCATAATGGGTAAGATATTGTCTCAGCTCGTTGTCACTGGCTTAGAGAGACGTGGTCGGCCAAGGACTATACAGCTAGGCAATCGTGAGTGGGTTAGCGTAATCCAGGGAATCAACGCTGCTGGGTGGCTAATCCCACCGTTCATCATCTTCGCTGGCCAGTACTACCTCTCTGCCTGGTATGAGGGCAACGATATACTACGCAACTGGGCTATCGCAGTCAGTGATAATAGCTGGACAACTAATAAGATAGGAGTTGAGTAGCTGAAGCACTTCATCAAGCATACAGAGGGCAGGAAGGTTAGGGTACATCAGCTGCTTATCTTTAATAGCCATGAGAGCCACTACTTACTCAACTTTCAAGAACTCTGCAAGGAGAATAATATCTTCACTCTCTGTATACCACCTTATTCATCGCACCTCCTGCAGCCACTTGACGTGGGCTACTTCTTGCTGCTGAAGCGTGCGTACAGGCGTCAGATCGAGAGCCTAATCCATGACGGCATCAATCACATTACTAAGCTCAAATTCCTACCAGCCTTCCGCGCTGCCTATGATCAGGTAACTACAAAGGACAATATCTGTGCAAGCTTTTGAGGCGCTGGCCTAGTCCCACACAATCCAGAGGCAGTGATATCAAAGCTTGATGTGAAGCTTCGTACGCCAACGCCACCTGCGCCAGAGGTCACCCCATGGGAGGCTAAAACACCTAGCAACGCGCGCGAACTAGAGGCTCAGTCAACGATGATCCGTGATCGGATACAGAGGCACCAGAGCTCATTACCTGCCTCTATTATCGCGGCGCTTAATCAGCTCAAAAAAGGCGCTAAGGTGATGGTGCACTCAGCTGTGCTCATGCGTGAGCGCATCGCGAGTCTTAAGAAAGCAAATAAGGCAGCCACAGAGCGTAGAAAGCGTAAAAAGAAGTGGATTCAGAAGCAAGGCACTCTATCAAAGGGAGATAGAGAGGATATTATTGCTTAAAGGGAGGTTGAGAAACAATTAGATAGGGAAACGCGTCAAGGCAAGGCGCAATCAGGTGTGAGCCAGCAGGCTTTAGCACGCTGCACATGCTGTAGAGAGACTGGTCATAACTCACAAACGTGTCAGAAGCGTACTGTAGATACTGCTTAGTCTAGGATAGTTACTATATTAATATTATCTTGTTGCGTTGTTGAGATAGATCGCTGCAGAGGTAGAGAGGGTTGAAAAGTTCCCGACTCGCTTATATTCCCGACTCGCTTGTAAAGTACGTTACTCCAAGTACTAAACACAATCGGGATCGATTCCATACCGTGCCGCGCGGAACAATCTATGTGTAACCAGGGCGGCTTCGGCAAATTGCTCCAAACCAGGCCTAGTCTCCTGGAATCAGCTCTCACTTCAACAACATGTATGTTCCATGTGCTCACGGTCTTACGTATTCTAGAATGCCACTTCTCAGATCGCATCCTGTTCTCGAGAGAACACAGGGTGCTTGACTCAACGAAGTCAAAAGAAGAAAAGTGACGAGCAAAACCTCGCATACCGAGAATAAAAAGGTCGGTTGCATCAATGCAGGGTATTGAACACAGATACAATGTGGAATGAATGTCTACTACTCCACAAGATTTTAGTTTCAATAGAATGAGTAGTTGATGCTACTGGAAATTCATGTTTTGCAGACTCCCCTCCGAGATTGTAGCTAACATTACAAGTTTGATTGAATTGTCCTTGAAAGCGCAATGCTAACGTCGAAGCATAGCTACTACTTACTACTGCAAAAAGCCCAGTTCTTACGTATTCTCTTCCACATAAACCCTGCGGGCCCCATTATCTTCGATTTCATTGCATATTTCATCGAGCTTTGACCAAGTTGACACATTATCCATGAGTTGTTCTGCAGTGACACCCGAATCATGTTCTATCAACCCTGAAGTGAACCACGCCGAAGCACAAGGACGCAATAAACGGTAAAGACGCCGGATGGATATTTGTCCCATGTTTGAAGCCCGCCCGTCATCCCATATATAATAAAACAGCATTCCCCATCTGTCTCCACCCCCCATCCCCACAAAATCCGTTTGCTCCCCCAAAACCCCCCTCCATATATGCCCCTCCCCATCACCCTCCCCCAACCAACCCAACTCCGAACGCGTAGTTTAGCGGTAAAACCTCCACACCAAAAAGCCGGCTGGGACAGCCTCGCATTCCAGATTAGCTGGGATCGCAAGTATGCCACCCTCTGCTTGTGCGGTGATGTGGAAGACCTGTGTTCGATTCACAGCGCGTTTGTTATCTTTTCGAGACTTTTCTTTTTGCTTTTGAATATGAGAGTATGCGATTTGTAGGTGTGCGTCTATGGAGATATTGGGTATGCATACATACATACATACATACCGCTCTAGGCTTGACGCACGCCCTCCTTCTATCCCCCTCTTAACCTTCACCTTCCAAACTCCCAAATCTCCTCCATGCACATATCTCCTTCCCCTCATCTACCCTCGAACAATCTCAAGACACGTAGTTCAGTGGTAAAACGTTCACACCACACCCATTAGTAGTGCACCATAAGCACATATGTATACACATCACAAGGCCCATCTTCAAGCCAAAAATTAACAATGATACTTTTCTCATTCCTACTTCATCTCCAATCTACCATTACGTCGTAAAAAGGCAAGTAATGCCTACCATCTGTGTAGATACAGCTCTAGCCATATTGATATCAACCCCCCCCCCCACAAAGAACACCACCCTATCGTTTCATCATCTCAAAATAGAGAACAGAGAAGAAGCGAAGAGAAAGAAATCCACAGATTCAAGAACACCAAACGCACGAAAAAAAACACCAGCCGACCAACCAACCAAGCTATGCAAGAACCGCCAAAGCAACTGCTCCTCTCAAGCTCCGTGTTCATGTTCTGTATTCATGCCCGATCGCCGATCCTATCCATCCAGCCCCATGTCTTTCCCAGTCATACCCATAAAGTGAACACCAGGCATCCATATCTCCCTACTACTCATCTCTGTAGAACTTCTTGAAGATTAGATGCAAAAACAAATTGACGTTCAACCTCAGAGCTCCGCTCCCGCTCCCATCTCTCCCCTCGCCGAACAGGTTCATGAACTGGTGGTTGTCAAACTGCGCCTGTAGTAGCCCATCCAGCGGCACCTCTGCGAAAGCTCCAGGGATCATCATACTACCTTGAGATCCTTGAATCTCAAACACACCAATCGAGTTCGAACTCAGTGTGATATCAATGCGATCCCATTGGCGCTCAGCGTATCCTTGCCACGAAACAAGAATACCCTTCTCGGCTAGGTTGCGAGCAGAGTATTTGAAAGAGCCAAAACGATATTCGCGTCCTGCGCGTTGAAGTTCTCGCACGTGGTTGTATTGGCGGGTAAAGGGGAGGAGGAAGCGACGCTTGCCCCGTTTGTTTTGGAGCGTTACCATGGCTTGTTCGATGTAGTCATTGTACGATTTGAGTTGTTGTTCAAGGTAATGGGCCTTCTCATCCAGATTGGAGAGCGTGGCTCGAACGCCTTCGAGCTCTTTGGTGCGTTGTATGCGGCGGCGATGCTTTGTCCGAATGTCGACTGCGATGGCGTTAAGGAGATCTTGATAGTGGTTTGTGTGAGTGATGCGGCCGGCCCGCTGAAGGTGAAGGATGTTCTCAAGTGCGCAGCGCTTGAGGGTTGGGTAGTCCATGTCCAGGAGGGAGTTGGATGTCATTTCGGCGGTGTAGCTCGAATATGTGGATGCGGCCGAAGAGCGGAGTTTCTTAGATCGATCCTTCATCTGGTTTGCGTGTTCTTCTCGAATGAGGGCTTCCCAACGTTCTTCATCTTCGGGGGTGATGGGTCGACATAAAATCTCCGTGAGGCTTGATCCTGTCTGGATGCGGATGATGTACAAGACATAGCGTTTCGTCTCCATGAAGAGCGCCTTAACTGCAGCATCGGGATCTAGGAGAGTCAGCAAATGTCCGCGTATAGTCATTTCTAGAGAATTTACCCTCTTTGTCGTGGAACTTGGTGTTGAGGGTCAGGGTTATCTCGGTGGAGCTAACGTGCAAGAGCTCGCTCTCATTGTTCTTCGCGCTGCCAAGCTCACGAATGACTTCGCGCAGAGGATCGTCGTGATCGGGGCAGAGGATGGGAAGATCGTCGACGACAAGGTTGTGAATGGCAAAGATATCTGCAAGTTTAATGTACAAAGTTGGCTTAGTACGTGCATAGAGGTCGTTGAACTCGTCAATGTCGTAGTGGGCTTCTGGCTCGCGAATCGTGATGACTAGAAGCAATCAGTATGCGCATACATGTAAGAATAGTATCCACTTACGATTCGACCAGATGTCCTGAAGTCGGTCAATAGCTTCGGTAATATAGCTATTGAGTGGTTGGAGGTAGACATTCTCGCCACCAAATAGTCTACCCGCTGCGACTTGGCCCAGGACCTTCGCAACCTCCCCAAGGTTCCTATTCATGAGAGGAGAAAGTGCCCGATCCACAACACCCCAATGCTGTGGCTGAAGTAAAGCAGGCTGAAGATAGGATTTCCATACCCAGTGACCGGCAATCTGGAGAAGCTGCTCTTGCGCCTCATAGGGGAACCTGAGCTGCAGCTCAGCGAACATTTGCTGGGCGAGGTAACGAACACCGTATGGCATCTTGTGGAGAACTTCTTCCATCATGGTGAAGAACTGATCAGCAATATCGCGCAGATCTTGCAGATGGTGAATGAATGTTTCTCGTGTCTCCGGATCCTTAATCGCTTCCTCACGTGGGATATTCGGCTCTCGGTGGCTCCTACGACCAGTTCGGAGCTCTTCATTGTTGATAGCAGACCGGTAAATCTGCATAGGATCGCTCTCCAGGTCCAAGGTCTCGTTTTCGATGATGTTGTCTTTGATCAGTGGCGCAAATACGTCCTTGAGGAACTTGCGATCTCGGGGTGATCGGACGTAGCTGCCGAAAAGCTTACTCCAGAAGAAGGTTGTCCTGAGGTATTCCTGTAGGGCACCACAGCTTTCAACATCCTCTTTCAACGATCGTGATAGTAGCTTCAACAAGTAATACTCCTCTCGTCGCTTTTGAGCCAGCCCGAACAAGCTCATGGTCAGTTGCTCGATGCGTTTGGTGTCCTTCTCGGAGAGAGATTGTTCTCGAACTCGTCTGAACAGTCGAGCAAAGTACTGGGGCTGAGTCTGGAGCATGAAGAAGAGCTCCTGGTAGTGCTCCAGTTTCCTTCGAGAGTTCTTGTTGAGCGCCTTGAGGTCGAATGGGTCCTTTGAGGAAATATCCTTGCTGCTGAGAAGGGCTCCGACGTGACCGCCGAAGTGCTTCTGGTGTTTGACTACCTCATCAAGGGTGATTTTGTTCTTCACTAGCAACGCAATCTTGATGTCGAGCTGGTCGATGTACTGCTCTGCGAGCTCATTCTGGCGAACATGTTGCACTACGGTCTTCCGGAGGCGTTCGAATTCTTTATGATATTAGCATGTGTATTGGAAGAAATTCTCGTCTTTTCTTACCGATTTCCTCATCAAAGTCCAGCTCGCTGTCGTTCAGAAGATGCACAAAATTCTTGATGGTTGATACAGGCGGATTTTTTCCACTGGTCAGGCTCTTGTAGGCTTCACCTTGTTGTCGTCCCCGGACAAAGCTCTGGATCTTGATGACCTTCTCCATGTTCTCGCGGTAAAACTTCTTCTTCTCTACGAACTTGCTACGCACAAGCAGACCTCGTGCGAGCGCTTGGAGTTCTACAATGGCGTCCTCGTGTTCTTCGACCCTTGCGAGAAGTGTCCCAATCTCCATGCGTAACATCATGCCGCGTGCGACGCTTTGGAGTTGTATGGTTTCGGGCTCCTGGCTGTTGAGTTCGCACAGCACTTCGTATGTGTGCTGTCTTTGTATAAATCCACGACACGCGGATTGCAGGTCAAGAATGGTGGGTGTTTGTGCCTGTAGACTCTTGAGATCAGAGAAGTGCCTCTGCCGAGATAGGAAACCACGAATATAAGACTGTAAAGAAGTAACGAGATTCTCCTGCTCTGACAACTGTACAAGGGTCGACGCAACCTCAGACCGCACGTGCGCTCCTCTTGCAACAGATTGGAGATCAACAATTTGTGGCACCTCTGCTTCGAGAGCTTCCGTAATTTCTTTAAGGGAGCTCCTTAGGCGGTTGCCACGAATCTGCGCATAAAAGTTGGACCAATTGACCTGGGTGCTTACCAACTTCTCTTGCACTGCAGCGTCCTGTCGTCGAGCGATCGCGCCGCGGGCAGCGGCCTGCAGTAGGGTGATCACAGACTCGTGTTGCCGAAGTGTTTCTTGATCTGTTCGTAGCGATTGTCGTAGGAGCGTGGCGCGGGAAACGGCTTGAAGCTGCTCGATGGTCCCCTCGTTCTCCTTCAGATCTGCGTAATCGCGGTCGATCTGTTGTCGGACAAGGGCACCTCGGATCATGGACTGTACATGCAGAACCTGGGTTCCTGCTTCGTGAGTGCGCTCATATTCTTCTCCGACTCTAAGGCGCTGCAAGGCACCGCGGATGGCTGCTTGAAACTGTCGGATTCCATTTTCGTGGTGCTGAATCTTGGACTTGACATATTGCACCTGTGTCCTGGCTTTTCGCCCCCGGAATAGATTTTGCACCTTGAGTACCTGCATTTCCTTGCTCTGCCAGTATTGCGCTTCTCCCTGTATCCTGGATCGGGCTAAGAAACCACGAGCAGCGCTCTGGAGATTGACTGCAAACCGCCTCATATCCAGACGGTAGTAGGCTATTTGCCTTGCCCAGTCACCGCGAATGCGGGATTGCAAGTCAACAATCAGGTGCTCATGATCCCAGAGATCCTGCATCATGTTGCCGAGACGGATTCGGAGGAGGGCGCCACGCATCTGTGCTTGTAGATCCAAAATGATGGGTTCACTCTCTGCAAGCTCTCGGTCGATCCTGTCTTCCTCTGACTCTTCTGGTTCTGGTTCGGGCTCGACAGCGAAATTTGCTTGCATGCTAGAGAAGTTGGGCATACTAATTCCGGACTTGTCCAGGCCCTTTTGCATTGCTTCCAGTTCGTGGTCTTCAAATTGCAGCTTTCCGACAAGGTTGCCGATCCGAAAATCGACAATGCCTTTCCGGAAGAGGAGCCATGACAAGGCATGGATGCAGTATATGACCTTGGGAATGTTCTTCTTCTCGTAAAGATCTACGAGCTCGAATCGGAACAGCTCGGGCAATTCGACCTCAGCTAGGAAGCGGAAGAAGAGCGCGATGTTGT